TATATATATATATATATATATATATATATATATATATATATATATACACATATACACACACACACATATATACACACACACACACACATACATATATTATATATATATTAGACCTGTCAAAATTAACGGGTTGACGAGGGTTAATCCATCATCATGATTAGTCCGATAAAAAAATTAAACGCAAATAACCCATCTGCAGCGCAGAATGACTGAAAATCCCTGAAATGTCTGTCAACCCATTTCGGGCAGTTTTGGTGCGTTCCATTTGCCCTGGGAACTCGGATTCCGGAAGTGAAGGCATGTACGGTCCCGTTTATCAGAGATCCGAGAAAATACCTCGGAGCAGCACAGAGGATCCCAAGTTCAGAATCCAAGATGGCTGTGTCCTTTATCAACAGAAGGGAAAGTTGTAGTTTTATACTGTTTAAGCACTACTTCTCATTTGTGGCTCATTAAATCGGTCGCACACACTATGCCGTCCAACTTATCTGTGGATGTGCTGCTACGGAGTTTTATACATAAAGCATCGCGCGTAATGTGTTATCAACTGATATAGCTAACAATGGCAATTAACCGGGCTAGAATTTCATGATTAGTCGGATTATTTGTTAGATTTCCGGTAGTTTGGGCTAATTGTAAGTGAACGAAGATAAAGACCATTTAAACTGAGGTACCTTAAATCCGACAAGTTGTCCGGCTAAGCAAAAAATCTTGCTTTTTGATATTATGGGTCCATGGTATTGCACTTCTGTGGCAGATGGAATGCATCCGACTTGTGTTCAAGATGTTCAATTAACATGTTAAGTGCATATATATTCCCTTTTTTCTTGAGTGTTTGCTCATGCAAAATGAAATGTGATTAATATATATTAAAAATTAATGATATTTAATCGTGATATATATATATATATATATATATATATATATATATACACACACACACACACACACACACACACACACACACACACACACACACACACAATTTTTTTGTCTGGAGAAGTATGTATTAATACCTTCAGCAGGGCATTCAAACATTGAAGACCTACCTATAGGGACCTCCAAAATGATATCAGGTGTCTTGTCATAGCCTTTGGCTCGAAGCTGGTTTTCATCTGAGGGAAAACATTTTTGGAAACTTAGCGGTGACAAAAATTTTTAATATGGTACATTTGCTCTTCCCAGTTCTGCTAACATACAGTTGACTGTAGCTAAAATAATAAGAGCAGTAGCACAGCAGGCATGATCTTGACCATGTTCATACTCAAACACCTATCCTCCACTCATAATGCAAATTCCATTTCTGACCTTCAAATCAAATTTCAACCATGTTCAACTAACAAGGTGCGAAACTGGGTTTAGCAATGGATACTGGATAAAATCAGCTCTAATACCTGAAATGCCACAGACATTTATTCACAATTATAATCATAATGCAGAACATACAGCTACATACATCACAAATTACAGTTTACCACTTCCACAGCCTATGAGAGCTAACTTGGAAGAAAACACTTTGTTGTGAAAAGATTAAGACTCTAAATAATAGAAATAGTCATTTAACATGCCTTTTTTGCATTTAATAAAATTTTTAAAATAAATGTACTCTTGTGATTATTGATCGCAGATTGGATAACATCACGGAGAAGCTCACGGCTCTGCAAAGGATTTTGGATGGCGGAGACCAGCGTGGACATTAGAGGAGCTGCGAAATTATAGCTTCTCGCCCGAAAACCCAAACAACCCTATTCTATCTGCTTTTGACTCCCCCATAATTAGCACTGGCCTTGGCCAAGGCCACTGCTGAATTCAACAACTCCCCCGGAAGAACAAGGCAGTGAGACACTCTTGCATTCCTCTCCCCCAATCCCAAGGGCACCCTCCCCCCATCCCACACCTTCGCTGCCCCCACGCCGCCAGCGTGAACAGGCGGGTCTGTGACCAGCGCCTCTGGCTGCAAGACTGGATGGCTGTTTGTTTATGCTGGACTACCTCCACCTCCCCATTTCCCTCCCCTGCAGCAAGTCACGACTTTTTATGATGTAAGGTGTAGTGACTATGTGCTTATGTTGCTGAGGTGTTTTTTTCTGTTCCTACATTGTACTCCCTGCTGGGGGGCTGTTTTTTTATTCTCCTCCTCTCTCCTCATGTAATTCTGTTTTCTCTGTTCTTCCTATATCCCCCATCTTCCTGACCTGTCTACCCCCTATAATGTGATGTTTGTATATGTATGGTTGGGTTGATGGCCAGTTTTTCGCTGGTACTTGTAACTAGTGACATGGTATTGCAACAGCAATAAAGGGTTTTCATCATCATCAAGTTCTGGCTTACCTAAAAAGGACAGGTTTTTCTCTCTCAGCTTATTGTGAAGCAGCATCTCATGTTCGTGGCCAATGGCACTACAGGTACACATTAAGGAGAGCTCCACAGCAATGGTCGCCAACATGTTGCCCGTGAGCCAGCACACTTGTGTACAATATGATATCAAATACAAAGTCCCACAGATTTTTTTCTTTGTAGAAGTAGCTCTCACTGTAGATAAGTTTGGAAACTTCTATAATACACTAGATGAATAAAGTTCAGTAATAAACATTCTGCTTTTTAAAGAAAATAATCTTGGAATTATTTGGATTTATTTAACTGTTGATAAAAACACAAATTGATAGTTAAAAAGGAAAGGGTAGTAAATGATAAAGCGTAGATAAAGCAAATTAGCGTAGATGCACACTTAATGCCATCTATTCATGCAGATGAAGGAGGGCATAGAAAGAATGGTCTTTAGTCGTCTTTACCCTCTGTATACACCAAAAAGCCAAAATATCATGAGCACTTGCTGGTTCTTTGTGTGCCGACAAAACAGCTGTGACCCACCGAGGCATGGATGTCAAGGCACCAAGATGTCAGCAACAGATCCTTTAAGTCTTTAAGTTAAGAGGTGGAACTGGCACGGATGGGACTTGCTGTTCCAGCACATCCCAGAGATACTGGATAGGATTTGGATCTGTGGAATTTGGCGGCCATGGTAACACCTTGAGATCTTTATCATATACCACAAACCATTCCTAAACAGTATGTGCAGTGTGGCAGGGCACATTATCCTGCTGAGAGGGGTAAGCATGGGCACTTTAATTGGTCGGTGACTACGCAGCCCCATATGCAACAAGGTGCAATGTACATTGTGTTGTGACACAGTCATTCCATGTATAGCATTAAAATTTTCTGTCAGTTCTGCCACAGTAGTCTTGTTGCTCCATACCAGGCAGGACTGCCTCCATAGCCCCCAAGAATCAAGAAGCCGTGGGCGCCCAACAGTCTGTCGCCAGTTCATGGTTTTTTCCTCCTCAGATTACTGTCAGTAGGTACTCACCATCACTGAGCAGCACCCCACAAGCCTTGCCAGTTCTGAGATGTGCTGACCCAGTAATCTGCCATTTAATATATTCCAAATCTTGATTAGTGCGCTGTTCTGAGATAATCACCATTATTCACAATATTGCAAATGTGGGTGGTCATAATGTTTTAGCTCTTTGGAATATACTTCAGTACAAGTTACACAATATCAGGCGACCCGACGGTGAATACATAAATAATAGGAAAGTGCATCTCCATCACTGAGGCTAATGCGATACACATTTCGATGCAACGATCTGATACATTAAAAATACATATGAAGCAACTACAAATGAGAAATGTTACCATAGTGGCTATTCAGAATTGGATATCAGTGCTAACCTCAGTCTGTTCCCAACACCATGTTCGAACACAAGGGTACACCTGGCACCAGAGCATGCTAGGTCACAGCTTGATGATTGATTTTATAATTGTATTTTCAGATTTGCGTCCGCATGTTTTGGACACTCGGATGAAAGAAGAACTGAACTGTCAACTGACTGCCAACTAGCAAGTTGGATCCGATGGTGGGGGAAGATGCTCGAAAGACCTGGGAGACCCAAATGCATAGTGAGGGTGTGCTGGGAGCATCTGGCAGAGGTTCCTGTCCAGGAGAACTACAACTCACAGATCCGGCAGAACTTCTCTTGTGCCAAGGGAATCAGGGGATATCGAGCCTGAATGAGCCATGTTTTGAGATTGCATTGCTGAAGCAGCTGAGTGGAGCTGTGGCGATATGGTGGTTGGTGCCTGTCATGGTGACAATCCCTGAACCCGGGGGTGAACATCAGTGGAAAAAGGCAGACGTCAGGTTGAAGGAGGAGGCCTTCAGAGCTTGGTTAGCTTGTAGGACTCCTGAAGCAGCGGACATTTACCGGCCAGCCAAGTGGAAAGTGGTTTTAGCAGTTACTGAAGCAGAAACTCGGGTGTGGGAGGAATTTGGTGAGGCCAAGGAAAACGACTTTTGATTAGCCTCAAAAAGACTCTGACAAACTGTCAGGTGACTCAGAAGGGGGAAGCAGAGTTTTACCCATGCTGTTTAAGGCAGGGCTGGTGAACTGTAGACCTCAACTGGGGATACAGTAAGGTGGTGGAAGGAGTATTTCAAGGACCTCCTGAATCCCACTGATATGCCTTCCTTGGAGGAAGTAGAGCTGGAAGATTCAGAGAAGGATTCAGCTATCTCTAGGGCTGAGGTCACTGAAGTAGTCAAAAAACTCTTCGTGATAAGGCTCTGCAAGTGGATGAGGTCCACCCTGAGTTCATGAAAGCTCTTGATGCTGCTGGGGTGTCTTGGCTGATACTCCTATTCAGCATTGCATGGAGGTTGGGGACAGTACTTTTGGATTAGCAGACTGGGGTGCTGGTACCAATCTTTAAGAAAGGGGCCCAATTCTAACTTTTCAGGGGCATCACACTATGTCTTGGACAGGAGGGACCACCCATTATTCAAACCTCGATTCTAGGAAGAAAAACATGGATTCTGTCCTAGTCACAGAACACTTGGAGTCCGGTGGGGGTGCTTTGGGAGTGTGGGGTCCGGTGTTACAGGCTATCTGGTTCCTGTATAACCAGAGCAAGAATTTGGTTAACATTGTCAGTTCGTTGCCGGGGAGGGGAATGTGTTGGATTCAGCTAGGGCTGCCCTTTGTCACTGATTCTACTGAAAACTTTCTAAGTGTAGCCAAGGGGTGGAAGGTATCCTGTTCAATGGCCTCAGGATCGCATCCTTACATTTTCAGATGATGTGATATCCATGACAGAGAACATTGTACCATTGTAAAAAGAGCTGTGCCAGAAGACAAAACTATCCACTTACTGGTCAATATACATTCCTACCCTTACGTATGGAATGAGATCACAGATACAAGTGACAGAAATTAGTTTCCTTCACATGGTGTCTGGGCTCAACCAAAGAGATATGGTAAGGAGCTCAGACATTCAGGATAATCTCAAAGTGGAATCTCTGCTCCTCTGTATTGAAAGGAGCCAGTTGAGGTGGTTTGGGCATCTATCAAAGATGCCTCCTAGACGTCTCCCTGAGGGAGGTGTTTCGAGCATGTCCAACCAGGAGAAGACCTTGGTACAGACCTAGGACACGCTAGAGAGAGAATAAATCTCTTGGCTGGCCTGGGAACACCTTGGTATCTCCCTGTTGGACCTGGAGGAGGTCACTGGTGAGAGGGAGGTCTGGGCATCCCTGATTAGACTGCTGCCCCCATGACCCAATGCCAGATAAGTTGCAGATAATGGATGGATGGATATGATTCATCCCTATTGAAATGAAGGGCCATTTGATGCAATATGATGCATTACCAGATACGTCTCTAACTTGTACAAAACTTAGACGAGAGACTTGATGAGAATTGGCTACTGATAGCAATTGCATCATGAACTTTAATTCCAGTACACTGATGCTAATTTGTGAATCATTCCATCTCTAATAAATAATATCAGAGTACATAAAATATTTCCCACTTAAACCTAGTGTATGGTTCAGAGCATTAAGCCTCTGTGCTTGTGATCAAACCCTGGACTCAGCAGAATAGTCACATGTCTTTTGGACCATTCAGCAAGGCCCCTAGCCCCCAGATGCTGGCTGACCCACAAACTTGCTGTCACCTGTATGTGTCTCATGGAGGGCAAGATGGGGTAGACAAAAAGAAAATTTCCCCACAAGGATGAATAAAGTATCGCTATCAAATTCTGTTACTGAGAACCCTCATATTTTGAATCCTAGTGTGTTAAAATGCTCTTTTGTCAGACATAATGCTCTGAGGGCTACAATTCTGAATGCATGGTATACAATAACTACCTACTTCAATCTGAGGCATATTCTGTGTACCTTTCACCTCTGAAAAAAATGATGAAACATTTAAGTAGGGCTGAACGATTTGGGGAAAATATCTAATCGCGATTTTTCTGACAGACATTACGATTTGATTTGCGATATAATTTTGTCAAGCTTCAGTTGAATATTCAGTGTGTAGTAAATTTAAAACATATGATGCCGCATTACCACATGAGATACCATCAAAATATTAACTGGTCTATATTCTAATGCAAGGATGAGAATTTAAAGATGTGGTGTGTTAAGTTAAATAATGTAATAATGAACAAATGCAGCAAAAAGAAAAACAATAGCGATCTTGCGCGGTAACGCTTATTACCCCCTTAACACTAGAACCGCCTTTCCCACACCAGTGAACAAGAACTACTTCGGTGTATGCAGCCGTTTTGTTTGTGCTAATGTGTTATTAGTGTTAATAACAGCAGCAAAAAGCTGCAATGTTCATAACAGTGGCTGTTCTGTCATGAAACTGTAAAGCTGGAAAATTTTCAAACATAGTATACATTTTATAAAATGACGAATAGATAAATGTAGTTTATTGGTGGACATGTTGGTCTACGTTTCCGCTTTTTAACAACTGTATAAAGTTATTTTTTATACAAATCAATTCAGGGGAAACAAAAAATGTATGTGTTCAGGGTTGCAAACTTTCACGGGTTTGGGTAACACACTTTCAAACTCTCACGCAAGAAATCTTATGGCAAATCTAAATTATTCCATTATGAACTTAGACTTAGCTGCATCAAAAAAGTTAGGGCAGTTTGCAAACCCTACAGACCATTTACATGGTAATAAAACTCTTACATACGCGTAAACGTATATGCAGACTCATCTCAAACAGAAAGCCTCATTCCTGGCAGCTGACCAAAGATTCGACTGAAGCGGCTTATCATTCCATGGCCTTGTTGCTCTGACAAATATAAAACGAAAGAGAAAACATTATATGTGTCATTTTTTTTAAATCTTTTTTAAATAAGACCATGCCCATATCCAACTGTAATAACGATTAAAGTGATCTGTTCTTTTAGTATTTGTGTTAAAGCGAGGCGTTCATTTTATTACTGTTGTGGTATTAAGATTAATTTCACAAGATTAATCTATGGAAATCAATACTTAAATCAATGAGCACAAAAACATATGACATAAAAACGACTGTATTATGGATTTTACGGCATTTCTGGGGGTCACAGACTTTGCAGCTGTGAGGATTACCGTCCGTCTCATTGTTGTTTTGATGGGTTATATGCTAATGTAATTTTCCATTAACAAAAACAAAAGGTGTGATATGCTGAAGTATATTGCAGCTGGTGTTTAAAAGGAGGTCGCCGGTTCTATTGATGATAGGACCTTTCTGAAACTATCTCGGACCATGAAATAGGAAGGCAATTCACTTATAGATCGGTAGCGGAATCACTATTTTTTCCGCACCGCGAATGCAACATTTTTTTCGGGTTTCATGTGTTCGTGTGACCCGCATGAAATGTGTGGTCACATTTTTGGGTTAAATTAATATAATATGATGTTCTGTTTTAGAAATGTATTTAAGTCCGCCAAGGCTTTTAGGAAAAAAAAGAAATAGTACCGTATATTCCATGATGAACGGAAGGGAGTTCGCGGTAACGGGACTGCTGTATGACGTAGCGGACGTAAGCTTGCCATTCTGGCAAGATCGACCCGGCGAACAGCAGCAAGTCTCCTTCGCGTCTTTCTTTATCCTTTTTTACAGGACAAAATCTGCGTGCGCGCCCACCGTGTCCGGGGGCCTGCTACATTTGCTGTTTGTGGGAGTGTACTGCAGGCCACGTCTGATTGGTGAGCATGACTGTCACATAGGGAGCACGGTATGAATTTGGAAAACTATTCTGACAACAGTTTTAAACCCTGGGTCCGATGTGCTGTATAATGTACGTATGCCCTAAATCGCAGCCTTTGCGATTTGCTAATTGCGTTGTTTCAAATTGCGATTTCGATTTGAAATCGATCAATCGTTCAGCCCTACATTTAAGCATGACAAATCAAATGAAGCAAGCTGCATCTCATTTCATTACTCATCCATTCATGCTGTTAAAGGATACTGTTTGATAGAATCCACCCATGGGCCATAACAGCAGTCATTTATAGTGCTCTGAAATGGAAACATTTCACAAGGGAATATGACAATTACATCATCATCATCATCATCATCTTCATTTCTGTGCCAACAGGAAAAATAAAATAAAAATGCAAGCATACTCAGAATATCATCTCTTGACCCCTCAAAATTATCTGGTGACAGTTTGAAAGCCACTGATGTGTTACAAGCTTAAAGTAAGGAACATAAGTATTTGAACACCCTGCGATTTTGCAAGTTCTCCCACTTAGAAATCATGGAGGGGTCTGAAATTCACATTGTAGGTGCATTCCCACCATGAGAGACAGCATTAAAAAAAAAAAAAAAAAAAAAATCAGGAAATCACATTGTATGATTTTTAAAGAATTTATTTGTATTGCATTGCTGCACATAAGTATTTGAACACCTGAGAAAATCAGTGTTAATATTTGGTACAGAAGTCTTTGTTTGCAATTACAGAGGTCAAACGTTTCCTGTAGTTCTTGCACACACTGCAACAGGGATTTTGGCCCACTCCACACAGATCGCCTCTAGATCAGGTTTCGGGGCTGTCGCTGAGCAACACGAAGTTTCAACTCCCTCCAAAGATTTTCTATTAGATTTAGGTCTGAAGACTGGCTAGGCCACTCCAGAACCTTGATATGCTTCTTACGGAGTCACTCCTTGGTTATCCTGGCTGTGTTGGAAGACCCAGCCACCACCCATCTTCAATGCTCTGACTGAGGGAAGGAGGTTTTTGCTCAAAATCTCACAATACATGGCCCCATTCATCCTCTTCTTAATACAGTGCAGTCATCCTGTCCCCTTTGCAGAAAAGCACCCACAAAGCATGATGTTTCCACCCTCATGCTTCACAGTAGGAATGGTGTTCTTGGGATGCAACTCCTCCTTTTTCCTCCAAACACGGCGAGTGAAGTTTAGACCAAAAAGTTCTATTTTGGTCTCATCTGACCACGACTTTCTCCCATGCCTCCTCTGGATCATCCAGATGGTGATTGGCATACTTCAGACGGGCCTGGACATGTGATGACTTGAGCAGGGGAACCTTCCGTGCAATGCATGATTTGAAACTATGATGTCGTAGTGTTCTATCGACAGTGACCTTTGAAACTGTGGTCCTAGCTCTCTTCATGTCATTGACCAGCTCCTCCCGTGTAGTTCTGGGCTGATTCCTCACCTTTCTTATCATCAGTGATACCCCACGAGGTGAGATCTTGCATGGAGCCCCAGTCCAAGGGAGACTGACAGTCGTCTTTAGCCTCTTCCTTTTTCTAACAAATGCTCCAACAGTTGATCTATATTCACCAAGCTGCTTGGCAATTGCCCTTTAGCCCTTTCCAGCCTTGTGGAGGTCCACAATTTTGCCTCTGGTGTCTTTTGACAGCTCTTTGGTCTTGGCCCATGGTAGTAGTTGGAGTCTGACTGACTGTGGGGTGGACAGGTGTCTTTAAAGAGCTCAGACAGGTGCTACTAATTTAGATTAATAAGTGGAGTAGAGGTGGACTTTTTAAAGGCAGAGTAACAGGTCTTTGAGAGCCAGAATTCTTGCTGATTGCCAGGTGTTCAAATACTTACAGTATGTGCAGCAGTGCAAAACAAATAAATCCTTTAAAAATCATACAATGTGATTTCATGATTTTTTTTTTTTTTTAAATGCTGTCTCTCACAGTGGGAATGCACCTAAAATGTGAATTTCAGACCCCTCCATGATTTCTAAGTGGGAGAACTTGCAAAATCGCAGGGTGTTCAAATACTTGTGTTCCTCACTGTATAGGTGCGATTGAACTAGTAGCAGGCAGAGCAAAACTTTACATGTACACAATTAGGCAAGTGAGTATTCTTACCTTATTTCTATGCACTCTGAACTCTAAACTTATTTAAACTTGAATGTTTTTGGATTTAATAAATTACAAGTGATATGCATTTCTTTAATAAGGGAGGATATGGCCTAAAGTGATTATTACCTTTTATTAAAGTGTGCATAATTATTAGGCAGCTTCATTACCTCAGGTAAAATGGGTAAAAGAGATTAGACACTGACACAAAAATTGTAAAATGCCTTCTAGAAGGATGCAACACTTTTGAAATTGAGAAGAATTAAACATTTAGGTACCAATGCCCCATGATCCTCCAGTGTCACAATACTGCAGAACTGCAGCCTACCTAGAGTGTCCAGAAGTAAAAGACTGGGGGTGAAGTACTCAGGGACATGGTCAAGGCAAAGAGGGCTGAAACATGACCCCCACTGAATATGATTCACAAGCTGAAGTTTCAAGACTGGACCAAGAAATACCTGAAGATTTTTCATTGAATTTTGCATTGAATTTTTCAAAGCTTTTATGGACAGATGAAATGGGAGTGACTCCAGATGGATGGACCCATGACTGTATCATTACTGCACATGAGACAAGTTTGAGTCAGGTGCCAGCAAGATGGAGGAGGGGTACTGCTATGGCAGGGGTGGGGAACCAGTTCCATGGAGGGCCAGTGTGGGTGCAGGCCATCCCAAAATCCTGCATCCACACCGGCCCTCCATGGATCAGGTTCCCCACCCCTGTGCTATGGGCTGTTACAATTAAGGATGAGCTAGTTGGACCCCCTTTGAAGTTGAAGCTTGGACTGAAAATCAGCTCCCAAACCTAATGCAAGTTTCTGGAAGATACTTTCTTCAAGCAGTGGTACTAGAAGATATCAGCAGTGGTACTGGAAGATGTCAGCAGTATTCAAGAAGGCCATGACCTTTATGCAGGATAATGATCCATCACGTGTCCAGGTGCTCCACTGCTTATCTTACTAGCAAAGACCTCAAAGAGGACCAAGTCACCTGGCCCCCTTCCTCACCTTTCTTATATCCTATTGACAAATTGTGGGGCCTTCTCAAATGTGAGATTTACAGTGAGGGAAAACAATACACCTCTTTGAACTGCATCAATAAGCCTGTGGTTCAACCAAAGATGATCGTGAACAAATCAAGAAAAAGGCTGACACTGTGTATAGAAGGCTCATGGTATTGAAAAGAATGGTAGCTATATTGGTTGCTGACTATGTTTGAAAGGCCCAAAATGTTAATTTTTTGTTACACTGAAAACTAAGAATAAACAAGCGAGTGTGGGAAAAAGTATTTATAATTCAGTTGTCTAATAATTCTGCACAATAATACTAACCTAATAATTCTGCACACATTTTCCCCTAAGAAAAGACAAAACTCATTTATCCTTTGTCACATATTCAGGTTTGAGGAATACAATTTGCTTAATAATTGTGCGCACAGTGTATTCTAGATATATACTCAGCAAAAAAAGAAACGTCCCTTTTTCAGGACTGTGTATTTCAACAATAATGTTGTAAAAATCCAAATAACTTTACAGATCTTCATTGTAAAGGGTCTAAACAATGTTTTCCATGCATGTTCAATTAACCATAATCAATTAACTGATCAGAGAAACCGAATATCACACCTACGTGACAGGGACAGGATGGCCACAACAGCTGCCCGAGTCACAGGATGGCCACAACAACTGCCCGAGTCA